CCTGGGAAGGATGTACCAGCAGGTCTGCGTGGTTTCCCTGGAGAGAGAGGCCTTCCAGGTGCTCAGGTATGATATAAACGCTACAACACGTGACATGATGTTTCTAAAGACAAGGAACAATGGATTGACTCTTTAATTTCTTGGAACCTTCTACTGGGCTTAAATACGAATGGGACATGAGCACAGACATCAAACATCCAACATTGCCCAATGTCATTGGCCATATAAGCAAAGCGGAATTTATTCCATTTCTTGCCTTTGGATTTTTACATTCTTCCTATTACATGTGTTGCAAAAGTAACTCTGGAACTTCCGAGTGTAAGAGATGAGCTTTTTGTTTGTTTGGTTTGTAGGGTCCCGCTGGTCTGAAAGGAGGGGAAGGCCCACAGGGCCCACCTGGCCCAATTGTGAGTAAACATCCTAATTTATGGAAATATAAACAGTGTTACAAAGGAACCTTTTTCTTCTGGACATGTTGTGGTGTGTTCATCAACACTTTGTGAAACAGCAGGCAGGTGCACGTCATTCAAAGAGATTAATAATTACTTTATTCCACTAATTATCCACACTAATGAACATTCAAGGAGTGAGAAGGTGGTATCTGAGGCCGCCTGCTACCAGCAGGTATGAGATTTACTTGTTGCTCAGTACTCGCCGCTTACATAAGTTGTTGTTGACATGAAAGAGGTTTTCCATAGAGGAAAATCTATGGATAGTGGATAGCAAACTCATGCAGTTGTGGTGGATTTTTAAAATTAATTTATTTTGAGATTAGAATGCTTTAAATGGGGTTGGGGGAAACCCAACATAGTGTAAAGGTTCTTGCTTTTGGATGATTTCTCCATGATTGGAAAGATCTGCTGACCCACTGTTAAGCTTTACTTCTTGATTTCTGAATATTTGATACGTGAATTTTTAAAATTGATTTTAATTCTTAATGCCTTTAAGCTTCTTATATCAAGAACTTGCATTTGTGATCTGCAGTTCTTAGCACCCTGCAGTGCGTGTGCATCCCCCAAGGGAAGCAAAAGGAGGTAGCTGGGAATGGAACAGAACGCAGTGCTATGGAAGCTGGTAGGGAGAGTCAGAAAGGACGCCCCATCCCACCCATCTCTGGTGCCTGAACTGGTAAAGAAGAGGTGGCTCAAAACCAGGGAAGCAGAGACCAGAACAGTCTCTCCAGCCTAAAGGTCATGCCTTCACATTGCTGAAGGAGGCCCGAAGGCTGGACGAACCTCTCGAGCGGATGGGTAGTTGCGGTGCAGAGAACCAGAGCTCTCCTCAGCGTGCCTGCCACGTGTCACCCCCACGCTCTCAGACAGGCTTCCCACGCCGCACTGAGCCCCCTCATGTCACAGCTCCCCAGAAATACGCACCACGGAAGGCTGTGCAGCAGCAGCACATAACTCCCTTAGTGATGCTTGTCCAGATCCTGAAATACTTGCCTCGGAGTTCCAGTGCAGACAATCACGGTTTTCCTAATCTTTCCGGGGTGTGTAGGCATTAACGGTTCAGCTCAAAACATCAGAGCCTTCCTGAGGCTAATGTCTCAATCCTCCCCATTCACCCTCCTCTGGTTCAAATCACAGAGCTCTCCTGGAGCTCATGGATGGTATTCGGATACAGCAAAGCTGGGAGGGTCTTTTTACAAGGGCCTGTAGTGACAGGACAAGGGGTAACGGGGTTAAATGGAAAGTGGGGAGGTTTAGATTAGATATCAGGAAGAAGTTCCTCCCGCAGAGAGTGGTGAGGCACTGGGACAGGTTGCCCGGAGAAGCTGTGGATGCCCCATCCCTGGAAGTGTCCAAGGCCAGGCTGGATGAGGCTTGGAGCAACCTGGTCTAGTGGAAGGTGTCCCTGCCCATGGTAGGGGGTGGGACTAGGTGGTCTTTAAGGTCCCTTCCAACCCAAGCCATTCTGTGATTCTGTGATTCCTTTTGTGTGAAGCTAAATTGGAAGAGAAATGCCAGGAGCACTTCTAGTGTGCACCAGCTAACAGGAGTTCAGTCCGGACTGAGTTACCATGCAGTCCAGCAGTAGGTGGGGATGGACGTCAGGAGCACAGCACCAACTCCTCCTTCACTTTACAGATCCATTCCTGGGGGAGTCACACTTCCTGCTACCCTTAACATAGCCCTAGAAAGAATCACTTAGGAAGCTCGGAATTTTTGCATATTGTTTTTCCCGTCTTTGAGAAGCGGATGTAGTGGCAGGAGGGATGGGGGGAAGAAGGGAGTGGTGAGCAGAGTGGAAAGGCAGTTGGAAGGATCCTTTTTGTTTGTTTTCTTTTTTTAAACACACTTTGCGTTCGCTGTCTTGCGGGCGGGTCCCTTGAGACCCAAACAGCACCAAGTTGACCGCATATACTCCAGAAATCCTCAGTGGGATTTTTTCCTATTTCATCTTTAACCACTAACTTCTTATCTTGAGTGACCAAAGACGAGCGGGTGCCCTGGGTGTCTGTGCATCTGCAAGGATCCCAAGTCAGCCATGCCTTGCCTTTTGCACAGCAGCTCACAGCAGACCTGGAGCATCAAATACTCCCAAAATACTTTCCCATCCGTTTTCAGCCAGCCGAGGGTACACACAGGAGAGCGAATATAATGGAGTCGTCACTTGCCGTTTATAAGGGGAGGAGAATTCGAGCCACTGGATGCTTTTCCTGCCCATACCGCTTGCTCCTGACTAGCACATAGAGCCAGACGCTTTCTTTGGCTGGTGCCTCCAGCTGCGGGCATGCCAAGCCAGTGGCTGCTTCCAACACCCTGCCAGTCCTGGGCTTGGAGGGCCCTGAACAAAAGGGAGAGGTGCATGAGCGAGCTCCAGAGCAAGGGCTTTTGGGGGGTTGGTTTGGTGTTTTTAACAGCTCTTTTTCATCTGCTGTCTGTCCTTCTGTTTGTTTTCTTCCCTTCTCAGGCGACTGTGGAATACTGAACACTGATGGGAGAAAGCTCTTCGGCATGTCCATTAGTCATTTTTCATTAGCTCATCTGGGGATAGGGTGCCCAAACTGGACTCAGAATAAGCCAGCTGTAGGCTATCCAGTTTTCAGTACTGAGCTTTCTCAAGTGATCTTCCTCTGTGTGATGACATGTTTCTGTCGTGGGGATCTTCACCTGCTCAGCCTCTTGTTACCCATCAGTACGAGGTGTTGCTGCTCCTACGCAATGTATGCGACAGCTGTAATTACATATCTCTTCCCAGAGAGATAAAAACAAGGTTACTGATGAGTTTATAGGCTGTGTAAGAGAAATACAGGACGAAGCGTGACACTTTCATTATGTAGAAAAGTTGTTTAAACCCCCACAGATTAATAAAATGATGGCAGGTTGTGAGTACCACTGCAAGAGGGAGTTAACGAGGAGTTAGTAATATAAGGAGATTGTTTCAGAGAGGGATAGAGTGACAAGATAATAAACAGAGAGAACAGACTTACGAAGCTGCTTAAAATGCTTTCCTGAGTTGTGACTGTAATTTAATGTGTTCTGCTTTGTTCAGAGGCCGCTCTCACAGAGAAATGAGAGGGGCCTTGAAAACAGAAGGTGTTCTTCCTATTCATAGCTTGTGTCAATTTAATCATAACAAATAAAATGATGCAAAGATAAGCAGGAAAAGTTGACTGATTAAAAAGAGCTCCTAGAAATTACGGCTACTGCTAGTGTCTGCTGTATGACAGAGCACAGATCTACGAGTTATTTGGCTTTTTCCCTCTATTCTTGCATCCTTCCGATGACCTGAAATTGTTTAGCTTATGAGACCTGACAAGATCACAGACCGTGTAGTGTGGCTGCAGGGGAGTGATTTTTTCTTGTTGAAGTCTTAGGAAATAAAACAACAGAAATAGGACTGAAACTCCAGCATCCACCCAGACTTCAAAAAAAACCCAAAAGCAGCGCCTGCAAGGATCAAGCCATCTGTGATTCCTGCACAAATACTTCTTCTTGCACACTCATGCAAAATTAGACCTTACTGAGGTCATTAGCAAAAATGTGTGAAACCTTTCCCTCCCGCAGGATTCTGGAGCACCTTATTATGGAATTAGTAGCCATGATGCTAACAGGCTCAGTCCAGGAAATGTATGCCATGAACAAAAGCAACAAGATGAGCCTTGATAGGTGAAAGCATCTTAAAATTCTGGTGTTCCAGGAGCCAGCAAATTTGACCTTGCTTTAAGAAAAACTGGCTGTGCAGAGCCTCAGGTTACAGCAGCTATTACTTACGCGCTCCATGCTCTATCACCCCACTTCCGGCTGGAAAAGTGACAATAGCAGTAACTGTGAAGTGTTACAATCTATCTTTAGGTGTCACGGTGTCAAGCTGAAAAGCTGTGGAAATACTACGATACAGCTAACACACCTTTAACAGCGCTTTCTTGATGCAAAAATGCTAAATTATTTAAAAGATAGGAAACAAAGTGTGAAAATACAGACATTTAGAGGGGGAGGACAGCTTGCTGCTGCTCGCTGCCCAGAGAGGTCACGAATTTGTGTTGCTCTTTGTGAAACAGTTTTTCCCATTAGATGTGGAAGCACAAGACCAGCTCATACGTGGAATATAACGGAACAGCACACCCCGCTGTTCCCATGCTGCTTGATCCACGGGCCACAGGAAGAGAGTGTCCTGAATCCCCAAGCAGCATCAGGACTGGCCAAGCTGGATTTCTGAGGTCACAGCCAGTGCTGATAAGCAGGATAAATGGCAGGGAACCTCTTTGCCAAGGCACAGGAAGGTTTTCCCTGTGCCATCATGAAACACAGGATGCTTGGTCAGACTCTGCCTGTGTGATCAAGGAGATACTAGGAATCCAGGTGTCAGTGTCTCTTGCTCCCTGTCCCTCTTGCTGGGATGTTCCTCCAAGTAGGTGTCCCTGTCGTGGCTTGGGAGTTCCAGAGAACCCCAGGTCACTGTTTGGAAATTAAGACAGCTTAAAATCAGCACCACACACTGTGGCTTTTGACTCGGTGATAAACCAATATGGGTAGACCAAAATTTAACATTTGGAATCTGAAATTCCATTTATTTGAGTAGAAGGTCTAATCTACAGTTACATGTTCCTTTGGTGTTTTAACCCCAGAACGCCTTGTTTCCATTTTCCCCTTCATCACTACTTCAGTGTAGATGCCATCTGCATTCTCAGAACGTGCAGTAAATGAGACAGGGGAGAGCCCGTCCATCCTGGGTACCTCTCCGTTTCAGAGCACCGCAGATCTGTACAGACCTGGCCTTTCTCTCCATTTTGTCTCCTTAGCTCAATCCAGCAGAAACCATAAAGGCACAGCTCAAATTCCAAAAGGTTATGGAGCTCAACTCTGTGGCAGATTGACATATTTAATAAGAGACCCTGACTTTTTATGGAACAGCCATAAGCCCTATGCTGCTTGAAAAGAACAAACTGACAGGGCGGGTAGAAACTGTATTTTCACTTATAGATGCTGTGGTAGTTTCAGATAGAAAAAAAGCCTATTTAGACAACTAAAGGAATACAGTAATGACAACTATGTGACTGGTTTAACAATGAGGTGTATTGATATTAGAGCAAAAATTCCTCTCTGCTACTGTTCTCTGTAAAAATATGTTCTAGAACACACAACTCCAGAGTTTTTCCACATGCAGCACCTGTCTTTTCCCCTTTAATTTGCACTGTTAGGTTTTTTAGGATACCTGTACATCCAAGCCTGCTCTGTCTGCCACATCAGGTTAGTATCTGTACCTCAACAGATGCTCACACAGGGGAATTGAAGTGCAGAACCCCCCGATCACCACAGCAGGGTACAGCACAAGATGACCACAAATCCGAGCTGTGGTGTGGATTAGTCCTGTGTTTTCATATGGTGAATATTGTTTCCTCACAGTGGGGTATGAATCTATTTTGGAAACACAGAGGGGAAAATCATTCTTGAGGACAGGCTGAAGCATGCTCCTGTTATCCTAAACAAATACAGAAATGGGTACTTATGAAAAAAACCTAAACTTCAAATTATTACTGAATAGGAAGTTTTGACTGTGAACTTCAGGTTAGTTCCTTCAGCCTTTTTCTGCACGTGTACCCGCCTACAGCTGGGATGTAGCAGGTATCTCCTCCTGACCTGGGTCATGAAAACCACTGACATCTATCAGAATTGTCTTACCTTTTTTTATTTCATTCCAGGGTTCACCAGGGGAACGCGGAGCGGCCGGCACTGCTGGCCCCATCGGTCTACCAGGGCGTCCTGGGCCTCAGGGTCCTCCAGGCCCCGCAGGGGAGAAGGGTGCTCCGGTGAGTAATCACTGTCAAGTAACGCTATCACGGCACACTCCAGAATGTTACTTTTTCCCACTCTAGTATCTGCCTCTTAAACATCCTCAGAATACCTGACCTACTCCTTTTATATTTACAATTAAGTAAACAGTGAAACATTTATCGTCACACCCTTCAGCACCCAGGAAGGGTTAAACCCCTTGTCACCATCACAGAGCGCGAATACAATTTAAAGGTTTGTCAAATCGGTCTGTCATTAAAACTTTTTGCCACTGTGCCTTAGAGCACAAATGTATTTGGGCTTCCACTATTACTCAGTATAATTTCCTGATACGTTCTCGTCTCTGTCTAGTTCCCTTTCTCTTGGGTTTTGGTGTTTGTTTATTTTGTTTATCATTTCGGTGATGTGACTCCCTGTTCTGAAATCTCCACTACTGCCCTCTGATAATGGGGACCGCTTCCTTTTCTTCAACCAGGGAGAAAAAGGTCCTCAAGGACCAGCTGGACGGGACGGAGTGCAGGGTCCTGTCGGACTTCCTGGTCCTGCTGGTCCAAGCGGTTCTCCTGGAGAAGATGGGGACAAGGTGAGTCGTTGTAGTCGGTATTGGTACATCTGTGAGAAGGGCTGTCCCGCTGGCTGGAGCTCTCCTCACACTAGATACGGTGACGAAGCAGCTCGTAGCCCTACCTCCCCCAGACTCCCTCCACCCTCGGCAGGAAACCTGAAGGCCCCTCAGGTGTCTGAGGGACAGATGCCATGGGATGGGGTTGTGTTCCAGAGCCAGAACACTAACTATTATCCTGGCAAGAGACAAGGATGAGAGTCTGGCACAATAAATCAAGGCAGATGATGTCAAAATTGATTTTTGCCTATTTTAGAAACTTGGTTTGCTGAACAAGTAGGATGAAATGTTCTCAGTAATGTGTAGTGATTTGGAACTGCTGTTGAGGTTGTCAAAACAATACACTTGCAGCAGAGACGTTTGGTTGACTTGTGGCAGAATTTAGGACACGGCACCTTTCAGGATCATCTTGAGTGTTTGCTTGATCCAGCACCGTTCTGTTAGTCAGCACAGGGTACAGGTAGAGACTGAGAGGTTCTTTTTTAGGATGCATGGGTGTTGTTATCCCATAGAGAGTATTTTCTGTGATTCAACTGAATTGTCTTTTATTATTCTATAAAGAAACTTTTTTTTTCTGACATGGTTTCCTGGTGACTGTATAATTCTGAAGTTTTGAAATACTGTGCACTGCAGTGAGAGGCAGCTGTGCAGTCACACAGAGTGAGATGAGTCTGTAAATCAGGGTGCTTTCATCATAAGTTCATACTGGAGGTGACATGAGGATCACAATTGCCTTTATTTAGAGCTCAGCTGCACTATACTTCAAAGCCAGGGCTTGTTGTCCTTTGCAGTAGAGCAATCAATATCTGGATTAATATGACGTGCTATTGATTGATGCAGAATTGCCCCTTCAGGCCTTCACACCTGAAGCAGCAGCATGAACCACTGAATAATCATATCAAAGGGAGCACTTAGAGGCACTGTGATACTTGGCTTCAGCGAAGTGTGAAGGAGACTGATTTAACAAGAAGTCTAACTTTTAACTTTCAATTACAGGGTGAAATTGGTGAGCCGGGCCAGAAAGGCAGTAAAGGTGACAAGGGAGAAAACGTGAGTAGCAAAACCCTTTGTCCATTACATTCTTCATAAACAACAAGTGCTGGTGCACGAAGCGTGCGGCAGGCTTGCTCCATCAGTGACCAGTGAACATGCTTCAAAAATGGTTCTTAAACACTGTGTCGAGCTTTACCGCAACACTAGAGGTGTGTTTGACTTGGAGCTGTGCATACACTGAGTGTTTCTCATATTCTTGAGCTTACAGAATCGTAACAAAATAGCCAGGTAAGCTACACTCCAAAGCACCCTTCCTGTACCTCTGCAGTTCTTCTGCGTTTGAACGGGAGAGAGCACGAATACACGCAGTTCTCTCCCTCTTGGGTTCACTGACTGCGTGAACACGCCCAGCGTTGGCTTCTCAGCTGTAACGATGAAGAACACCAAGACTCAGCAGAGAAATCTGTGTAGTCTTCCATGCTTCGAGATACCTGATTCTTGGGGAGCACGCTTACCTGACTGCACGCTTGAGGGCAGCCAAGGCCGCAGATCACATGGTTTATGCAGGTTTCCGGATGCTGTTACTCGGCCTGTTAGTGAACGTCAGACCAAGCAGGCTTCTGCTGATTTCATCTGAAATGGTTTTGTCTTCAAAGTTATTTCTGAAGTGCAAGCGCCGCCTCTCTTGGTTGAGGCCAGAAATAGAGAAATAAGCTTTTTTCACTGTAAACTTTGAAGCTAAAAAGAACAGAATTGGTGGGGTTTTCTTGTTTGATTTTGGTTTCTTTACCAAGCATTCAGAAAAGGTTGGTTTGCACTTCGTGTGACAGTTCAGTTTCCAGATAAACTGGCATTTTATCAGAATAATTTTCTTTAAGACACAAATGGGGAGGTAATTGCAGAAGGATTGCAATTTGCAATCCTTGATGTTGCCCAGAGAAGCTGTGGATGCCCCACCCCTGGGAGTGTCCAAGGCCAGGCGGGATGAGGCTTTGAGCAACCTGGTCTAGTGCAAGGTGTCCCTGCCCATGGCAGGGGGGATGGAACTAGATGATCCTTAAGGTCCCTTCCAACCCAAACCATTCTATGATTCTATGATTCTAAGGATATTTATTGTGTTCCACTGATACTCAGAGTTAGCAGAGTTCAGAACTCAGCGTAGTGGCATTCATAGCTAAACACACATACTGTCTTGAAAGCACTGTGTGCTTATGGTGATCAGCACCTTACAGAGCATCCCATCAGTGGGTTGCATCTAAAAACAACACCAAATGCCGGGCTGGCACAGAATCAGATGAGGTTTATAGGGGGATACATACAAATTCAAGCAAATCACAGCTTTACGATAATTTCATAGACAAGAATGTGGAGATAAAATGTGCAAAAAAATGACAAGGGTGGTTTGTTTGTTTGTTTTAAGGATAAGTTTGTCCTATTCAATCCTTTATGTGAGAGAGACTTCTGCAATTTCCAGTGCAGAAACACACTCCTTTCGCCATCCTATTTTAACAGGTCAAATCACAAGTGCCATAACAAGCTATTTGCAGTGCCCCGTTAGCACAAGGAGTGTAATACTGTCGGTAGGAGTGAGAGAGCACTTGTGTTACAAACCCCACTTTTCCGAGAAGTGACCAAGTTGTCAACGAGTTCTGTTTCAGACTACAATTACTCTTGGCTCCTCTGAGCTGAAAGCTTTGGTTAACTTGGTGAGATGAACTAACAAATTCAACCATTCTTAGAAGTCATGTTTAGACCTATAGACTTGTTCCCAGTTAACAAATCAACCTTAATCCACTTGCTGTTGTAGCTGTAAGGCAGCTGTAGGACACAGAGATACACGCAGCTCCTCTTCGGGCGTCAGAATGCGACCCCCATTACGTAGCGGGTACCGATGTGTTTGGGCATGTTCCAGCAGACCTGCTGTACCAACGGTGTGTCTGCAGCATATTCACCTGAGAACATCCCTTCTGCTCCGAGTCTCAAGCTTGAAGGCATTTGGGAATGTCAGTGAAACGCGGGATTCGGTGTTCGGTGCTTAGTCGCAGTGATTGTTGCCCCATTTGAATCCTTTTTGGCTCAGTTGAAGTCATCCAACCCTGCCCATTTCAGACTGTGTCCCTCAAATCTGCTTCCCTGTCCCCGTGCCAGCAGATGTACAGTGGGGCAGGGAGGCGGGGCCTTGCTGGCCGCCTCTGGAAGGTTCCATAGAGGACGTAGGTACCTCCTTCTGGAATCACAGCACAGAGAGGATAGATAAAACACCTTGACACCCCCAAAAGCCTGGGTGGGCATTTAAAGCCTGGTAACAGCAAGGGCTACATTCTGAAACATTAACGAAGTGTTTCTGATAAATGCCAGTATTAACTCTTGTTATATATGTGCAAATTGGAGTCCCTGAGGTAAAGAAATGATCGTACCAACTGGACAAGACTTGTGAACTGTGCTGCATTCTCCATGGAGCAGTGTTTAAAGGACCTTGATCGTGCACGTAGGGTTGTCTCCATATGTGCTTTATTTCCCATTCCAGCTGCCGTAATCGCTAACTGCCATTTGGGTATTTGTTTGTTGCAGGGTCCTCCGGGTCCACCAGGTCTCCAGGGTCCCGTCGGTGCCCCTGGAATAGCTGTAAGTAGCTGCTTCTGAGCAAACCTCAGTCTTGCCCAAAACTCACGGGAAGTGTGTGCTCCTTACTCAGGAGGGTATTTCGGATCAGTGTACCAGCTCGATCTGTCCTCTTCCTGCAGTTGCTGTAAACAAGCCTGCAGAGGTGTTACTGTATTTCAGATGTATGGCAGGGCGATAATTTGAAGGAATTGTTAAAGTGAAGTAGTGTAAATAGCGAATAGGCCCCTCCTTCCAGTGAACGTGTTGGACAGTTTGTGTGAAAGCGGTAAAATCAGCTTGGTACCAAATGCATTGAAAAGATTCTTTCTTTAAAATCCACCTGGTACTGACTGCATCAACTTTGACTTTTAGTTAGAAGGCTTTGAATTCTTACCCTATGAAGATTCCTAGAACTACATGCTACTCCTGTTTCCTACTGTGGAGGTACTCGACAGCTGGAATGTTTAGGCAGATGTGAAAGAGAAGCATTCAGGGGAAATTTGTGTGAGATGCAGTATTACCTGACCCACACTAAACTATGGCAGATGCTGATACTCTGTAAAGTCTATTTTTATGTTTGTGTGTCATCCAACCAAGACAGTGTACAGGCATTTGTACAGATGTTAGCAGTGGATCTGAGCCCTCCTGTAGCTGTTTTCCAGTGGTTTCAGTGGAGCTTTCTCTGTTACCATCAGACCTGTGATGATTTTGCTTCTCGCTGTTTGCACCCAGGGAGGTGATGGGGAGCCAGGCCCAAGAGGTCAGCAAGGCATGTTTGGGCAAAAAGGTGATGAAGGTCCCCGAGGCTTCCCAGGCCCTCCAGGCCCTATTGGCTTACAGGTAAACCCCTTGGTTATTGTACCCTCAACCTGTGACAACCCTGATTCTATGATTTGTGTGTCAGACTCTGAATGAGCATTGTCTTCTATTAAATCAATGACTGCCCAGTTAATGAGAACTGGAGGATCCTGTATTCATAGAGCTCATGCAGACAGCAGATGTGATGCTGCAGGGGTTGCCAGGATGCTCAGACTGAACTCCTGGCTACCATAGGCCTTAGAATCTCATTCAGTAGCTTCTTTATCTATAGAGTCCAAGGATTTCTGTTTCAACAAGAGCACTTCTTTTTCCTGGAGATACACATCTTAAAGGAAAGATTCGACCTGGGGGGTATTTAACGTGTCGAACCATCTGCTGTGTTTTGGCAACAGCGTGTTTCCCAGTGATACCATCACAGACACTACTGTGTTCTGAAGGACCAGCAGAACTCCAGGATGCCTATACACTGCTGCCATCACTGGCAGGTTCCTCTGGTTTCATATTCCTTCCCCTTAAAGTTGTTATTGTACGAGTTAAAAAGCACCAAGCAAGCATACAGTACAGGGCGGGCTTCTCCCTGCTGCAGCCAGAGAACTGCAGCTGAAAAATCCTGCTTTCTCAGAAATCTGATTTGCTGAAATACAGCAAAACAAAGAACGAGACGTTCGGGAGCTCTGATTCATTCCGTGTCATTAACACTAGAGGACAGAGCGTTTTGACACACTCGTAACCCATCCATTGAACTGCAGCGACGTGGTGGCGGTGACGCTGCGCTAGGTACCAGTGTTAGCACCGGCTGCCGCTTCCTTCCCGGGATGTTGGTGCCGTCGAACCTGGACACCTTGCTCCTAGGGATACGTCTGCGAAGCCGATGCAGCGCCTCGCAGCGGGATTTATCACCCCGACACAAGACCTTGTTAAAGCAGTTGTACAGCCTCCGGCACTTGGGTAGCTTCGACCCCTCTGCACACCACCCCTCTGTGCCGCACTGCTCGTGTTTCCTTCACACAGATACTGCTCATCTCCTAAATCGCATCACCCAAATGCCCCCTGCCACCTGGATAATAGTTTAAAAGTCTGCCACCCTCACATTTCTGTGTCCATTTTGTTCATAAATTTTCTGCCTCACGTGGTTTAAACATTTCATATAAAAACTCCTTTTCTTTAATTTGTTCGTGGTTTAATGCAAATAGATTTAGTTTTCTTGTCTCCCCTCCCCAGTTGCCAAGTTTCACATGTAGATCTGATTTGCACTGTTTCATACGGATTTGTAACTCAGCATTCCAGGTACCCTACTAATAATTTTCTTTCTCCTCCACATGTTTTAGGGTCTGCCTGGCCCACCGGGTGAAAAGGGTGAAAATGGTGATGTGGGCCCAATGGTAAGACCTGTTGCTCACCCTGGGGCCCCTAATTATCATCCGTCTATTATTGCCGTCTCTCTTAGCTCGCAGCGTGATCAGCTGCTCTGAAGTTGGTGCCCGAGTGTGAACTGTTTGGTGTAACAAACTCTCTGGGCTTGACTTTGCTTTCCCACATCTTCCTCCTCATCTTAATGTCAGGGTTTGTGTAACTGCAGAAGATGGCCTGTAGAGTAGGGAGCAAAGCAGATGCCACGTGTGTCTGTGACAGGACAATGGCAAGCAGGTTCAGGAAAGAGAAACAGGACCGCACCCGTTTGGAGGTGCTTTTCTGAAATTCGGGACATTGCACCTTAGCCTCAGGCATCTGCAGGTCAGATGTGAACCCTGCTTGGCTGTTTACTCTGTTTCTCTGCGTAATGAGAAACATTGAGACTGCACCTTCCAGCTGTTTACGCTGCTGACAGAATTCCTTCTGTGCTGGTCCTGACTGAAACACCAGCTACCAGCAGCATGCCTGTGCCTCCAGCACCCTGTGCCAGCCTGGAAGTGTTGCTGTCGCCCAGCTGTAGGCACCACGGTGCAGCCCTGCCAGGTGGCTGGGACCCCGTAGGCTGCCCCAGGGCTTTGCACAGAGGAAGGGGGATGCAGGTAGCTGCCGGGAACCCATCTCAAGTGGAAGGGGGATGCAGGTAGCTGCCAGGAACCCATCTCAAGTGGAGGGGGGATGCGGGTAGCTGCCGGGAAGCCATCCTCGGGAGTCCTGAACGTCAGACTGGTTCCAGCTGGGATGCTGTATAGCATAGCCTGGATCCCCTGACACACTGTGACCGGGCAGCGGTCCAACCCTGCTGTTTCTGTGGCCCAGTGAAGATGGAGAGTCCTCTACAGACAGAGCGTATTATTTGTCACTGGACTAGTTCTTCATGGCTGTAACTATACCAAATTGTCTCTTCAATACAGGGTCCGCCTGGCCCTCCTGGTCCAAGAGGTCCACAGGGTCCCAACGGAGCTGATGTAAGAGCCAACCTGTTTTTGTTCTGTCAGTAATAAGCACTATATTTGGGATATGTATATTTGGGATAACTAACATCTTTTATCATTGTAGGGTCCTCAAGGCCCCCCCGGCTCCATCGGCTCTGTTGGAGGTGTTGGTGAAAAGGTGAGCGTTGATAATCTCCTCCCTGAAAGAGAAAAGATGGAAATTGGAATAGGAATGTACATTTGATTCTTCTTCAGAGCTCTGTACATATATTACAGTTCCCAAATATCCTTTGTTGACTTAGGAACAGCGATCTAGCTGTACTCTTGATGGCTGCCTTACCATGGCTGGTCCTTTTACTTCATGTTTTACATCACAAAAACATTTAACCACCGGAGGAAAGAGCTTTGGAGCAGAAGAGGTAGTTTCCAGGTGAAGGATTACATACAGCAGAGTACATAAAAAAATGGGCACTGTGGGAAGACAAATCCCCCTGTGAGCACTAGAGTACCGAGGAGAACACTTGTTATGACAACATGCCATCAGGGTAGCACCCAGTATATTCGCTGCTTGAAAAACACACACGCACCTCGTGGAACATCAGGGCCCACTCAAGTCGGCAGGGATTTTGCCATCGGTTTCAATCACCTCTTTAATTTTTACCGTTTCATGATCAAATCATATTCCAGGCTTTTTAAAAACCTTGACTTCTATTGAACTCCTTTATTTCTCCCTGTGTCTCTTCCCTGTGATTTAGAATCCCTGTTTGTGATAACCAACCCACCAAATTTAATTCAAGAGCAGGAAATTCAGACTGTTTATCACTGGTTGTCACTTTTACACCCTCTTGCTTATTTCCCATATTCTCTGCATTCACAGAGGAGCCTCCCAGTATATTATTGTGGAAGTTTTCATTTCTTCTAATTGCTTTCCTCCTCCTTCTCAAGCTTTAGTACAGGTCAGTTTTTCCCCTGCTTGGGACACCTTCCTCCTTCATTTGAGTTCCATTAGATGAGCTCTGCAAGCTCAGATGCCATGAGGTGTTGTTTTGTCAGGAGTGCCAGCAGGGGGAGGACACTTCTAAACAAAACATGCATTTTCTCTTTTCCTGTTCTTCCCACATATTTTCTCCCCCATGTTTTTCTTATTACATCAGCATGCTCTGGCCTCCGTGTCCCTTCCAGGAAGACACATCATACTATAGATACCGCGGTGCGGTGCTGACTGGGGTGTGGGAAAACGTGTTGGCATCCCCCCTGTCACTGCTGGGGGGGAGAAGCAGCTTTTCTTGTTTTCACATGTGAATGCTCAGGCTAGAGGTACTCTGTCGTTAAGGACGGGGTTTCAAGCCCCCTCACCTTGTGGCAAATCAGAAGCAATCCTTGCACAGTGCCATGGGTTTTTAACTGGCTTGTTGTTCCCTCTGCTGCACACACAAAGGCCTGAACAGTCAAAGCCATCTGCGATGCCAGCGTGCCTGCAGCCTTGCATCATTAATGCCCCGAGCCTCCACGGAGCAGTCTGGAAGCCTTGAGACTCACACTCAACCAGAAGCACTTAAGAAGATGATTATTCTCTCTGTTGTGCTTATAATTAAGAAGAAACAGAATCCCAAAATGTACCAACACATACTTGTCTCTGACTTGATCTCAAAGGTTTAACATGCAGATGTTCTAAACACCCAGTAAGGTGCTCGTGACCTCCCAAAACTGAGCCTGAGACATTTTACTCCATCCAAGAATTTACACACAGAGAAGAATCAGAACAAGAATCATTAACCTCACATTTTTCTTCCTCAAAGCCTAATACAGTAAATTTGCCTCTCTAATTCAGGCTAATCGTGCCAAGAGCACCGAGCACAGCCATTCTGCTACCCTTTCCCTGCCGCAGCACGTGGTCGCCCAGCAGGCAGCGCGTCATGCAAACTGAATGTCTGCACAACCCGGGCTGGCTTTCTGCAGCCCCTCGGGGTTTAAACCTGGCTTAGTGTATGAGAGCGCCTGAGCTTAGGAAACCACTGCCCTCACCTGGGTTTATACCCCTTCCTACTACATCATGCTAAAACGATCTTTAGGCAGTGCACTGGTGAGGAGCCCAGCCCAGCAGACGGGTGAAATCAGCGGTTCCCAGGCTCAGTCACTCACTGACCCACACTGCAGGCGGAAGCGAGAGGAAGAATTCCATCAAGTCTTCTGGCTCGAAGTTTAAAGCCATCTGTAAGTCTGCACAGACACCTCTGTGTGCGCATCGTTCTCCACACAGAGCCGATAGCGTCTCTGGCAAGACGTGGCACAAGTAGCGCCCCGTGGTTGGTTAGCTCCGCCGTGGGGATGCCTCTCGAAGGGCTCTGTATGGTGGGCTCTGTGAGATCTATTTATACCTACTAACGCAGGTAACAGGAATTAGTTTGCTCATTGCGGGCCTCGTTCTCTGCTGCTACATCAATATAATGTGACTGATCGTAGGCATGGACAGAGAGCAACTCTAATGATGCTGCAGAGTCAGTAAACGCTGCGCAGAGCGTAAGGAAATGAAGACGAATTTTCCTAGAAAGCATTCAAAATGCTCACTGCCCTGAAGTAGCCAGTAGACTTTTTTTAAAAAAAACATAATGAATGCTGTATCGCAGAAGCAAATGAATATCAATACTAAGAGGGATCATTAATTTTTAGGATTACAGCAAATTTAAGTATGTCTAATAAAACAGACCCCAGTTTCTGAAGGCAAACTCGCCCTTTAAAAGTGCCCTTTCTAAAGGACACTTTAATATTGCTCCTAAAATCGTGGTAATCTGTTAATTATCCTGTTCTGGAATTCAGTTGGGTGCTCAGATCTTCCATTAATCTACTGTAACATTTACATTGGGCCAGACTCTGGACCCGGTGAGGTCATCCTGCTGCCATTAGCTTCTGTGAGAAAGGTCCAGTACCTACACTGTAAGATTTGTTTCAAATGCATAGTTTGTGCTTTGTCTTTTTATCCTGCCCGCATGGCAGTGCCCGCCACGCGTGTTGTGTTAACTGAGCTGCCACCAGACGAGGAGGGGTGCGCAGGTCATGCAGGGTATGACAGACACACCAGTGTATTCCGAACCTGTGCTTGGAGTGGGCGAGAAGCACTTCCAGCACTGAAGTGCTCCCATGGATAGGCATAATTACGGGCAAGGTTCGTCTGGTTTGGAAAAAGAATATATATGTGGGAAAAACATCCCCCCGTTAGCAGTTATTGAGAAATCCTCTGGAATCGCAATACATCGTTCTTATCTCGGCACTCCATGCCAATCACAAAGCATTTCTGTTATCCTTGCCCAGATTTGTGTCTCTGATGCTAATAGCTAAATGTGCTACTAACGGAGTGGTTTTCTGTAAAGGTTTATTTGTCAGACCACTGAGCTAGAAAACAATCGGTCGTCATAAACTGTAAAATGAACAATTGCAAAGACAGCCGTTGAGCCAAGACTGTGGGTTAGCTCAGAAAGAGACTGAATTAAACATTCCCTTAGTAGTGTATCATCTTGGATTTGCACAGATTGCCTTCATATGGTGTCGTCCTCAAAGCCATCTGCTTACCGAGCAGTTTCCATCGCCGTAAACACAGGGCATGCACCCCTCTGGCCCCTGGCGGAAGTGTTACTGTTGCATTATTTTATCCTTCTGGTTTTCTGTATGTAATTTTTATTCTAACAGTAGCTGTAGCAATAGCATCTTCACTGCATTGACCTTAATTTCCACGTGGTATTCTCTTATTTGTTGAAGCTTGCTTCCAGCAAAGTGTATCTTGTTGAGAAAACAACGTACACAGTCAATATACTTACTTGGCTCTTTTGTGACTACAAGGATGACAAACAGGAAATTTGCAATATATGGGATTATGGAGGGGGAGTTCTTCCAAAGCCCAAAGGGCAGGTCGGTCTCCCTGGCTCCCTAAAAGCTTAGTTTGATATATTCTCTCTAAAATCAAATTCCAGTTCTGCAAAACCATGTGGGACTCCACTCCCTTTAGGTAGACCAAAGAAAAGACAGTTCCTGTGGGCTGTCTACGTGGATAAGCATGAGAAGAACATGTGATAGCAGAAGTAAATTCCCAGATATATTCTCCCTAATGGCTCATCAGTGTATCCTCACCATTTATAGGGTGAACCTGGCGAAGCTGGTAACCCTGGGCCTCCCGGAGAATCTGGAACATCTGTGAGTATTTTGGTTCTATCATTAACCTTACGTGTGGTGAACTACGGTATGTGGCAGCGCTCACTTCAGACAGCATTTACCCCGGTTACTGAGCACTTGTCTACCGTTCCGTAAGCTTTTCAGTGAGGCGCTTACACCCTTAAAACGCCGTTTGTTTCCTTACGCTTACGGCCTGTACCAGCAGCTGGAGGGCAAAGCTGCAGACTTCCTAAGGGAGTACCTGTTGTCTCCTTCCAAAAGCATTAACTTTGACATGCGTGGTTTTCTCTCAGAAGACAGTTCACTGATGCAAACTGGGTGCAGATGTTGGCACTTGGCCCGAGATTCCCAGGTTTTCCACTCCGAGGCCGAGTCCCAATCTCCCGCTCACGTGCCAGCGTTCACTGATGAGTAACACTGCCCGGGGCTGACAGACTGTTCTGCCAGTGCACTCTCGTTTTAGCCTTTCAATTTCCAGATGCCATTTTTGTGTTCATCTGTTTTCCGCAGGGTCCAAAAGGTGAAAGGGGAGAAAAAGGTGAGGCTGGTCCACCCGGAGCAGCTGGACCACCAGGTGCTAAAGGACCTCCAGGTGATGATGGGCCTAAGGGTAACCCAGTAAGTGAGCTCGATTTTAAGACGGGGCACGGTGAAGCACTGCTGAAGCTGTGCTACATACAGCACTGCTCGACTGTCTACACCTGAACTAAATTCACTTCATGAAATGCTTGTGATGATTGCCTCCTGCTTGTCAAGGGATGACACATTCCTTGGGTTTTTTCCTGATTCATCTAGGGCCCAGTTGGTTTTCCTGGAGATCCCGGTCCCCCTGGGGAACCTGGTCCCGCTGTAAGTATACTTAAAAACCGGTTTTTGGTCGTGGTTTTGGTTTGCACTGAATTCTAATCAGCCCTGCCTCTTCCTTGCCTGGGGGTGAGCTCTCGTCTGTAAGAGCTGGTGCTTTTCTGTTCATACAGTTCTTAAGGCTTAAAAAAGGTTAGGAAATCTTTAAAAAGGTTTGCAAACTGGTGTCTGTAGGAAAATGCTCTTTAGAAAAATAGTGCTCTTACATTCGTATGTGAAATGAAGTTACTTGCTTCAGCTGAATTTTGTATTTTGTTCCTTTTCCCATGAATTCTGTAGGGTCAAGATGGCGTTGGTGGAGAGAAGGGTGAAGATGGTGATCCTGGACAACCTGTGAGTTGTTTCTGTCACTTTATTTCAGCTGCATGTGCTCTCCTGTGCTGAGAAAGTATCTTATACTGAATCAGTGTTTTCTAAACGTTCATACTCTTAAAAATATTTTCTTAATAGATGATTTTTCTATTATACTGTAAAATATCTATTTATTTCTCTGTAGAGATAAAACAGCCCAGGTTATAGTCACAATCATAAGCAAGAGCTCAGTTTCTTTTAGAACTGGAAACAAGTGATACGTTAAGGATTTGTGCCGGAGCTGCTGAGGAGCACTCGTGCTACTCTGAGCAGAAGAAAGGAAAGCTGCAGCCAAATAATCTTCACTAGCTGACGTCATGGGACAAAGTTGATGTTTCTGCTTTAAGAAAATTTAGAAGTATCTGAGTAATACCCATATCAAGCATCAAAGTTCTTAGATTTCTGTAAAATTATTTATTTTGCAGAATAAATATGTAAAAAATATTTGTTAAACATTTCAAAACTCCGCCCCAAGGCGGGACCTGTTGCATAAGCAGATGTACTTTTCCGTGTGTATTTCTGGTACTTATGCTCTGGCCATTGAAGGGAGCCAACGTACTGCAGGTGTTTGTTGCATTTGGTAAAGATAACTTCACGCCTTGTTACCCAAATCGTGTCATGTGCCGTTGCAGGGTCCACCGGGTCCTTCAGGGGAAGCTGGCCCGCCTGGTCCACCTGGGAAAAGAGTAAGTCGTTTCTCGTTCTGACACTGCGCTGTAGAGAACTTCAGGTGCTCATTTTTATATGCTGGGACATCATACAATGTTTGAAGCTTTTTCTAAGTAATGTAATAGAGGAAATTGAAACATCGGAACAGCAGGGAAAACCCTTTAACATGGATTATGTGGAACATGGGAACACAAATACATGGGGAAGAATGTATTCCTCACCTATAAACGTGCTTTTTCTTTTCACCCAAGTGAGTTCAGTGTCTGCTGAACTAGACTCCTAGCAGCAGCGAGTGATGATGAGTAACACCAGATGCCATCCCTAGGCCCATGGCGGCTGCCAGGGAGCAGGAGAATGTGGCTGCTTTGATGACTTCAGCCTCGGAAATAAAATCATTTCAGTGCAGCCTTTGTGCAAGCTGACGTCATCCCCTCCGCACACAAAGTTGCCAAGCAGACATTTCTGTAACTTATGAAGCCATCCCATTACTTCTGAGCTCTTTGAAGCTTCACAAGCTTTACAAATAAAGCTCATAAATACAGCTAATAATACAAATATAGCTAATAAAACCCAGTAAATAATGTTCCACTTTCAGAGCTGTAGTAGATGCATCAAGCTTTAGGTCTGCTTCAGAGAGCAATTAAATCCAGCTTTTACACTCTAAAAACCAAGGGAGGGGGCATCATTAAACGTAAGCTGAGAGCTAGTTAACAGAACGTGTTACATTGATCTATTTAATAGGCTTGAGTGAGCTGACAGGCCTAATTAGTTTTATCTATTTCACACAATAACCTGTTTGCTCCACCAACTTGTGAAACATTTAGATGCTGTGAATGCTGACGGTAGCGTTAGCAACCTTAGCACTAGCACTGAAATGCGGCTCGATCGATTATTAGCAATTAGTATGTTTGTTTGGCATCAGATTAGAACTTCCTGCTTTATTACAGAGGAAAATAGCTGGTTCCTAACAGATGGGGTATATCGCACCCAATTGTACAGAGATGAAAACCACTTTAGAAACACAAATATCACATCACCCGTGGTTTGACACATCTCCGATTTAGGGTAGAATGGATGGCTAAATGTTGCCAAGTAATCCCATTGCTGAATTCTGAAGGAAACAGTTGTAGAATCAGATTCCACATTACTCAGGTGGCTGAATGTTTCCAGCGTGTAGAGAGTCTGTATTGTATGGATATTACAGCAGAGACGGCGAAGGACTGACTGAAAGCTTCACGCTTTGGGGGCAGCATGTGCGTACCTCCGATGCGAACTAAAGAGCATCGGTTATGGTGGAACCACTTCCCACAGACAGCCCTCCAAGTGTCCTTTATCCCAGTAAGAAGGACGTACGGTTGGAGTGGCAGCGCTGCTGCCAGGGAGGTGCCGCTCTGGCTATGCTACTAGAAAGCAGCATTCCACCCTGTTACTTGCTTTTCTGACTCTGAAATGACAAGCTGGAAGAGCTCAGGATACTTTTAAGTCTAATCCCTCAAACTCCTCGACTGTACAGTCTCCTTATTTCCCTTATTCCCCCCTTCTCCTCTTGTTTTGGGACTGACCTGAACTCAGTTTCACTTCCTAGTCTTTTGAAATCATATCAATTACCAGGTTTCAGAGCTGTGAGCAATCTGTGTCTAGTATTGCTGGTTACAAAGAGGTTCTGCAGCGTTCCCTGGAAAGCAAATTCTACGGGAAGACATGGCCATAAACAGAGCTCTCCCACTGGAAGCAGGCTTCAGCTACAGCTGCATGCTTAGGGTGACATTCAGCTAGCAAGTGAAGGCTGAGAATAAACTATTTTTCCTAGTTATTGATGGGTAACGGGGATGGGATATTAGTTCCGAGTGTTTCTAGGATGGAGATTAATTTTCTTTTTCGGCCACAGCATCATGCCTTTTACCTTTTGGCTACAGCCTGAGCAGGGCACACACACCACTTAAAATTAGGCTGATTTTCTCCCTTGATTGAAAAGGCACAGAACTCTATACTATTCTATACTACTCTATACTACCTATACTAAAAAACTCTATACTATACTGTACCCAGCCAACTATACGCTGGGCTCCTGTCTTAACAGACAGATGAAATGACGTAATGATTGTGTGTGGGAAATGATGTTATTAGTCGGGTGATGGACAGCTATAAACCACACGGAAATATGGAAGCGCAGACAAAGACGTCCCATAGGTTCGTGTAACAAAATGTGAGGACAGATCTGTTTCTGTGTGAGTTCTTTCGTCTTCCCCATTCTGCAGGAAACATATCCGGCAGTATGACCAAACCTGGGGTGTAATGATCATACACGCCGCCTGATAGCGGGGGTGGTGAGGGTGGGAGCTATGCATTAATTTAAAATTACTGTTATTGAGATTTTCCTGTCAGTTAAAATTTACCAGACACTTCAACAGCTCAAGAGCAGGAAGGTAAGATAAATAACAATTAGCAGCCTTTCTGCAGAAGCACCATCTGTGCCGTGCCAGCAAGCACAGCCCATTAGACCCAGCAGCTCGTTTGGCCGCTTGGCGCAGCGTTTGCTAATGACTGCACCCCCTCTATTCAGCAATCATGACCATTGTATTTGGAATTTAGCAATCTCAGGGGGTTTAGCTCTGCTAATTCACGTTGCAGCTGCCTTTCTAGATTACGCACAGCCCATGTTTCTCCAATACAAACTGCCCAACTGGAGCCTTTTCAGTGTCTTAGGTAGGGGACATTATCATCCATAACGGAACTTGAGGGAGCGGAATTTTGAAGCAGTAAAGACCACAGGCATGTAAATTAAGTCATGTAAGAAAACAGACCTGTTTCTAAAATGTTCCTGAGTTTGTTTAAGTACCTGCTGATCGTTTTTCTTGTCATCTCTGCAAACTGCAGTCGGCCCAGCCAACTGCAACCCACACGAAGGGGTGTATGCATCAGAGTACTAGTGAACTGTAGTGATTTAGGTTACTCAGCTCACACTGCCCAGGGCTTTTTAGCTTCTCTGTATTTTGAAGAGGTAAAACGAAGTCCTTTACCACTTCCAGCTCTTCAAAATACCACGGAGAACAACCTGTTGATACCCACAACAAATAACCAAAGTCCACTGGGGGCAATTTAATGCATTTTGCATTACCTTTGGTGGAAAGCCTGAACTCTCTCTGCCGGCCAGAAGGCCTGTACAGCACTGCAGATGTCCAGTTCCACCCTGCAGAAAGCTTAATCTCAGAAGCAAATGAATGATCTTAATATACTCCTAGGGAAATGGGTACGAAACAAATGCAAGGTTCCAGAAACTAAACCTGGTGATGCTGCTTGGGGTATGAGCCATCAGCAGTGACTGGTGGGGAGGTACCAAGCTGTAGAAAGCTTGGGCTAAATACAGGTCAAGCTCTGGCCTACAGCCCTGAGCTCACAACACATACAGACAGAGGTCTGACGGGAAGAACACTTCTGGCCTCTAGAACTAACAATGTGGTTTAGCGCTTTAGGGGCCTGCGTTTATTTTTGTCTACTGTTAGGATGTAAAAAGCAGTAAATAAACAGAAATGGTTGAATTTTTCTTGTTGCTGGTCCACAGAATGTTTGTTTGGGGTTTTTTTTGGTTTTGTTTTTTTTTTTTTTTTTTAATTTGTACATAATGAACATTAATGAATAGGCAGGTCTTAGGGAGTAAATTTTACAGATTGAGAAAATCACTTTCTGTTTGATCACAATCACTTTTCTTTCTTTTCCTTTAAGCTGCTCATGGGTTGGCAAGAACCAGCTACTTGTACTGAAGGCATTTCCCAGGCTAAAAATTAACCTTGTTGGGAAACAGTTGGGCCATTATCCTGAGTGCCTCTTTCCTAACCTAATTGTGTAGAAGAGACCCATTTTCCAAGAGTAAGTTAGATTCTAGATACTGCTGCTGTTCATAACTGAGGCTGTGAATATTAATTCCCTGACCTGAAAATCAGCCCTTGATGGTTTGGAGGAGAATAGTGTCTTTTTATTTTTCATTGAAACCTTAAGAAAATGGAAGGTGGGTGACATCAGCAATAGCTGCTGCTGGCCTCTGCAGTTGCTGCTGCAACTCCTGGTTTGTGGCCTTCCCCTGAACCTTATCCCCACTGCACACCCTCCTGCAGTACCATGTTCTGTCTTAGGCAGAGCTTTTGTAGAGCGACAGCAGGAGGCCTGAGCCCAGAGCAGGCGGCGTCTGTGTTTCGTTCCTTCCAACCCCTGCTCGTGTGATCTATGTTCTTCCTTTGAAACATACTGGGCAATATTAAGGCAGGTATAGATTTTTGGCTGTTCACATGTAATCAAAACTTACTGCGGCCATCCCTGACTTAGAGAATATAGTGAGTGCCATTCTGTGCACTGTAGAACAACGTACAATCAGTGGATAAAGTACAGTGAACAGACAGAAGCCAGTGCAAAGCAAATTTACAACTGCAATTGGATATGTAAATTAGTTTTTTCATTTATGTGTATATCCTGTTTTGATTTTTTCCCAAGATTTTTTTGTTTGTTTGTTTTAACCTACTCAGAAGTGTTAGGTGATACATATTCTTTTAGCTAGCCTAAAATCCCAGAAAGTGTTATAAAGGGAAAAGAGCTGCTATGACAGACTGGGATCTTTATCCTGTGAATAAAATGTCAGGGCAGAAACTGTTCTTTTGTTAGCACCTACCACTTGTTCATCCAATGGAAATTGCACTCTAGGAATTTGGTAATATTTTTATAAAACTGTGATTATGAGCTCAGTCTGCCTCTTTTACAGGGACCTCCCGGCGCAACTGGAGCTGAAGGCAGACAAGGGGAAAAAGGTGCAAAGGTAATACACTCAGGATTTTGTCCCAGAGCGTGGAAACTGTATATAAATGGAAAGTGAATTGAGTGTGGAACTTACCAAAGTAATCACAGGTTACATATATGCACCAAAATAGTAATAGTAGACTGTAAAATCCAAATGGAGACCCAGAATTAGTAGCAGTCCATAAGGGACTGTGGATTCTCACTAGCACGGGCCCAACCTAGCTCACCCCTGTGGAAAGGCAGGATGAGCATGTTTTGCTGGCACCACACCTTAGATGAAGCTATCAACATTTTGATTAAAAACCACCCTGTTCAGACCACTGTTTTAGAACAGCTTTTAAAAAATGGAGTGAGGAAACTGCCTTCAGTGCGCAGCTTGTCTGTCCCTGCAGTGCCAAGCTTAGTTAGCTCTCCCTCTCCAACCTGTTGTTTGTGTTCTTTCTAGGGCGAGCCTGGTGCAGAAGGAGCTCCTGGAAAGACAGGCCCAGTTGGTCCGCAGGGGCCTGCAGGCAAACCTGGCCCAGAGGGTCTCCGGGGCATCCCTGGCCCTGTGGTAAGTGGGCAGAGCTTATCGTAACCTTTTACATGTTGCATTTCTTGTGTATCCTCTGGTAAAGCAAGCTGTATGTTTTTTTCCAGGGAGAGCAAGGTCTACCCGGAGCGCCAGGTCAGGACGGCCCTCCTGGGCCTCTGGTGAGTGCCCGCCACTTCAGTGACAGAACAAGAAAAGCCCCCTTGAAAACACACCACTAACATGTCTGTGCACGTCAGTTCTTGGCACAAAGTCGCTATTTTTCTGTGCTGGTAAATCTGATACACGACTGCTAGACTTTAACGGCTCCACTTCAGCAGCAGCTGAGCTGAATGCTGCTGAGTTACACCAAGTAAGGCAATGTGTGTAAGGCAGTGTAAAACCAAATACTTGAAATTCCCTGAACTGAATAAAAAATAAGAAGAAAATGAATGAAGCTTACAGTCAAAAAATCTACTTCTGTCCCCGCATCAGCAAGGCTTGATTCCTTAAATCGTGTTGTTTCCTTAGTGGTAAATCTTGTACATCCATTGATTTAACGCCTGCCAGTTTAGGAAAACATGATTCGTAAGGTAAAAGAATAGATCATATATGTTTCTTAAGAAAGCAAAAAACTACAGCAGGAGTAGGGCTGAAGGGGGTTCCGCCAAAGAAGAAAATGTGGTCGTTTATACAAATGAACAGCATCTCTGCTGTTCGTTGTGGCAGTCCCAGGAAATACAATCCATGACCAAAGTGTTTCAAAGGGCCTGAATGAGCCAAGCTCCCCGTTTCTAGGGCATCTAGGGCGTACCCCACGCAACCCCTTAACCTACAAGCAGAGTTTCAGAACATCTATTTTTATGCCTCACACACTAGAAGGATTTTTTCCTGTGAGCTGTGTTCCTGATGCATAGATGTACCTATCGATCACTTCTGGGTATGTGGTTATAGATGGAATTACAGTGGCACCTACAGATAATTTCATTTCCCCCCATCATTTAGAAAACAGTAACGAGTCGAGGAAGCCTTACCCGGTAGCTCTTTGTTGCCCTTCCTTTTAACAGCCTAATCTTGTCTAAAGTCTCATGGATAACATACTGCTTCTGAGTCAGAGGTTGGGAACAATGGACGGGAAGCTGCAAGGAAAAAGACTGCCCTGAGCTAGGCCCATAGTGAAAACTTCTTCCCTCCTAAGAGTTTAGGATGGGATCACCACCACAGTTTTTACGTTATGTGCCCAATTTACAACTAAATTCCATTGGGGGCAAACTGGGGAGCTGAAATCTGATCTCCTCAGTTACAAATCTAGAAGCCAATAAATAAATATTCAGCAGTAATAGGCATCCCTTTACCACATGTCGGTCACCAGGAGCCTCCAAATACATCCTCAAAACATCTCTTCTCCAGCGTTTGAGAGCTTAAATATTCAGTTCAAAGCGGAAGCTGAATGTGTTAATGAACTACGTACTCCCTAACGGACAAGCTTCCTGACAGCTCAACAAGAGCTGTTTTTAGATGCACTGCTGCAGCTTGAACTTTATTTTGGCTTTTAAGAAAGTAAAGTTTATATGTAAAAGCTGCAGAGGTTAGGTCTCCCGCCTTCCCCTCCCTCCCTCCGCAGCAGATTGCTATCAGGAAGAGAATATGAAAGCAGATTTGCAGTAGAGCACAACACACTGCAGGTGAAAATGTCTGATTCTGTATTCCAAAAGCTTAAAAATTTCACTTTTCATTCATGAATTATGTATTTGCCTAGGCTTTTGCATCTAATGATGTCCTGAAATAGCGATGGAAAGGATACGCGCAGAATAATATTTTGGTACATGAAGTGCCATGGCACTTCTGAATCTGTGCCAGGTTGAGAAGGTCACTTATTATGCTCTCTGTATCACAACGTCACACATGTCCGCTGCCGGCAGGAGACTAGGAGGGAGGAGGTACGGACTTGCTCTAGCAGCCTTACACCGGTGCACACATGTTCAGTGGGACATTTATAGCCTCGGAGAAGTGGAAACCTTTTCTCCGCTCGCACATGCACTGCACAGCCTGAATTTTTCACCTCATTCTGTAGAAAGCATGCAAAACAAGCACTGCCGTTCTCATCACCTCAGAAGATTTCTCAAATCCTGTAAGCTTCTTCTAAAATTATAAATAAAGATCAAAATAATTTTTAAAAATCTGTAGGAAAAACAACCCAAGAAGACTTTATGAGCGTCATACATCATCTTTGTCTGCAGTATCTATCCAGCTGTATTTTTGACTATTGGTACAACAGTACCTTTAATGCCTTGCTCTTGTGACCCCAGTCAAGATGAAAAAAGCCCTGTCAGGCAAAAGAGGCTTGTGTCAAGTTGTAACAAGATTATTCAGTAGTTTTTGCAAGAGCTGTGCAGCAAGTAAGCCCTATCCATGTGAAAAATGTTTATCCTTTGCAGTACTTTCCCAGGTAGCAAGACTGCAATGGAGTTTTCCAGTAGATTCTCGAAGTATCAGCTTACATTGGAACCACCTGAAAAAACAGAGGTGTTTTGGGTTGTCCCCTCCCCACACCCACCCCAAAAATGTGGAAGGGCTTTAGAATGGTCCTGTTGATGCTATGTTGGGTGCTCACAGCTCCATCTCCTGCACCAGCATATTTCTGTTTACAGCAATCAAGCTGCATGGAGTGATGTTTAGGGACACTGCAGATAAAACTTAGAATAAAGAGCATTTCTTACTCAGTTTTATAAAGTAACATATGTCTTTACTGTGCAGCAGAAAGGATGGCTTGAAAATAAAATTAACTGTAAGCTGCTTATACGAACCATGTAACGTACCTAAAAAGGTAACAGCTTAACACCTCGGTAAGGTAGGGTTCCAACAATGAGGAGTGGAGACCCAAGGAGACTAAGGCAGCATGTAAAAGCTGAAACAAAATATGAGATAGTTCTTTAGCAAAAAAATATCGAGGAACAATTCTTGTAGCAACCATGATTTATGTTCTGCAAAAATCTCACTGAGCAGGAGTGAACCTAGGGAAAACAAATTGAGGATACTTTCCACTGTCTTATGAAAGTAAGGGCTAAAATAAGCAACTAAAATAAGGTACGGCAATTAAGGTGGAAGTAATAATTGAAAGCATGTAATGTAACTACAGCAAAATTGGACTCATTAGCAAAAAATTATTCTTTTTTTTTAATATCACTTGCTTCAGGGGATGCTTTCAGTGCTCCTTAAGGATGCTTCATAGATTTCCAATCATACAATCCTTTATAGATTTCTAATTATAAAATAATTTAAATGTTACAGTAGCATCATTATGTCTTTTTAAACACATTTCACCTTTATCTTGGGCCCTAAATCAGATGCCATCAATCACAGCCATCAAGCACTGAACGGCTTTGCACTCTGACTTGCACTGCATTTAATTGTATTTCAAGAAAACATGATCTGCGCATGTTAAAACTTATTTTAACGGTACTTCCCTTGGTTTTTAGGGCCCACCTGGCTTGCCCGGCCTGAAAGGAGACCCAGGGTCCAAAGGAGAGAAGGTATGCTTTAACCATTGTCTATGCCTCTGTAATTTTGATCCACTCTAAAAGTCCATATAAAATCAGCACAAGGAAACACCAGGGTTTTTGTCTGAGAAAGCAGGACAATGTACCGTGTCAGTCAGTCAGCTTCCTGCAGCCTTAACAGTGACCGGGAGGTTCGAAGCCCCATCTGCTCTCCTGGAGATACACGGAAAGAAAGAGATTACTGCCTGTGTGGTAATCTATTGACCATGGGATTCTTCCTGGTAGTGAAAATCCCAAAGACATCGACGTGAAGAGAGCTGTTGGTTTTACAAAAACAAAGTAGAAATGCAGTGTTTGAGATTTTTATTTTCAAGCAACAGAATGTAAACCTTTAACAGCTACAGTAGTTCATTTTGAAATAATGGATTGGGACATCCAGGGTAGCATTTTCTAATGGAGTCCCAACAATTTATTGATTGCTTGTGTATCAGAGAAGACATGTACAGAGAAAGGGAGATGAACTTGATTATATCTTGTGATGTCAGGTTTGTTTCTGTGCTTGGATCGCCTGTTTATGCAGCTGTATTACCTGGGGGAAAAACGTGCCACTCTGAGATGCTTATAGCATCTAAATGGGAGAGTTGGTATGAAATGTGTGCACACGGGTGCCGTTGTTTCTGATTCACTAAGGACTATGCTGCACTTCGATCTGTTCCAATGAGTAAGCGCTCGCAGCTTGCAAATAATCTCCCAGTCAAAGGCCAACTAACAACAATGAATATGCTTCCTGAATAATTTGTTTTCAGGTTAATTGTTGCCTAGCACCGGTGGTGAAATTTGTGTGTTTGCAAAGCACATTTACGTTATATATATTGAGTTTTGACTCTGTTTTCGCCTATCTTGTTTAGGGGCATCCTGGTTTGATTGGCCTGATTGGACCTCCGGGAGAACAGGGTGAAAAGGGTGACAGGGGTCTGCCCGGCCCACAGGGATCTCCTGGAGCCAAGGGCGATGCAGTGAGTAACACACACTTGTGTTCTTATTCAAGGTCCGTTCAAGTGACGAGCATGTATTCCAGTCTTTCTTTCCAGACCCATCAAGTTGCTAAACATTTAACACCCCGAGCCTCCTGCTAGAGGTTAAAACTTTCCTCAGCATCGTACAAGCACAGGGAAGTTAAACAGCTTAAAGGGAGACACAGAGTGTTTCAGGAGATGTAGGAAATGCATACACCTAAGTTAGGGACAAGATAAACCTAACAGCACCAATCCCATCACATTTATTAACTGCACTACCCAAAGCAGCTTCCTTTCTCCTCATTATTAAACCACATGTTAAGGCACTATGTAAAAAAGCTTTCCAAGCCAATCCCAGGGGGAACACAGTTGTGACGGTGAGTACTGCTGCATAAGAACAACTACCACCAACTCAAACCATCAGAGAGTGTATAAACTTGCCAACTATTCTGGACCCTAGAAATGGCCTAAATCAGACCTCATCAGGGTTGAACACTCGGTAGGATGAGCTTTTCCATAGATACACATTTTCTTAATCCAGTCCGGTACGTAGAACAGTTCAGTTCTGTACTTACTAGCTTACTCTTTCCTAGGGAATTTCCGGTCCTGCTGGTCCCCTTGGCCCCCCTGGCCCTCCTGGTTTACCTGTAAGTAGCTTCATACAGTCCTCCTGCTCAAAACACTCCCATGTTGTATGGAATATGCTCCAACTGTAGTTATATGTTCTCGCCCACAGGGTCCCCAAGGTCCAAAAGGCTCCAAAGGATCCAGCGTGAGTAATTGTCCTCCATGTTTTTTGTTCTTAAACTTAACTTTAGTGTGTGTAATTCCTTACCGTTGGGTAGCATGGTCAACGCTACATTTCTGTCATTGCTTTGTAGGGTCCTGCTGGTCAAAAGGGTGACAGTGGGCTACCTGGTCCACCTGGACCTCCGGTAAGTAAGACCTCGTTTGACACAGATGCACATTACACTGAACCGGTGACCCTGTTTTGGCAAAGGTAGAAAACACCATTTGTGAACTTGTAGATACAGAAAATATTCATGTTTGTTTGAAAATTCATTTTTCAGAAAACACAGATCTACCAGACAAAGAAATACATTGTCTGCACTGAAAAACCCATTTGAAACTTTAAAAAAACACCCCACAACCAACAAAAAAATCCCCTCGCAATAATTATTTAATGTCTTACATTGAAGCACAGGAAATTAAATTATTTTAGTTTCCCCTGATAATACTCTTCTGTTTCTACTATTTTTTTTTCATATCATATCCATCTAAAATGAAAACAGTCCAAATCTGAATTAAGTGTTTCGATTTCTTGAAATGAAAACATTGCTTTATGGACCCCAAGTGGAATTTTAAAGTTTTATCCTAAGAAATATCCAGAGTTTTCAGTTGTCACAGGCTATGTCTGCGCTTGAGGGAATTGCCAGGGATAGAGACAACCTCAGGTTGGTTCTGCACACTGAAGTGACGTGAGGGCAGCACGCTTTTCCCCAAACAGCAGTGTAGTGGGGAGATTTTAGAGCACAACAATGGTTTTGCCTTCTGCAGTCATGTTTTTCTGCAGGTAAATCAAAGCAGAAAGGCCTAAATGTGAAGGAAAGAAGTGAATAAAGAATTTGAATGAAGCCTGTTGGAAGCATCTCCGAGTCACATTCCATGGTCTCTCTGTGTGTTTGAGCAGCTGAGAAACAAACAGAAAAGTAACCGACACATTGTTTTCCACTCAGGGTCCCCCGGGTGAGGTGATCCAGCCGCTGCCCATCCAGTCACCCAAAAAGACAAGAAGATCTCCTGATTACATGTTATCTGATGCTGGTGATAATATTCTGGATTATTCCGACGGCATGGAAGAGATCTTCGGCTCCCTGAACTCACTGAAGCAAGACATTGAGCACATGAAATACCCAATGGGCACTCAGAATAACCCCGCCCGAACGTGCAAAGACTTGCAGCTCTGCCACCCAGACTTCCCGGACGGTATGTTAATGCTGCAGTTAAGATCTGCTCAGATACTCTAGCAGAATAATTAATTGTTGGTGGTTAATATAGTTGCTCAATAAATAGTTTAATGGCATCCAGTTTTGCAGGTACAAAATTCTACAAAACGTAAGAGACATTGTCTTGGCAAAAGCCACAATTCTTTAAGTACATAACCTGATCTGGTTTTACATTTAACACTTTTGAAAGTGCCAAATAAAATCCAGTTACTGTTGTCAAAGGTGGGCCTTGCCTTCCCAGAACTGTCCAGACAGGAGAGTGATGAAACATGGGTGCTGTTTAGATGACCAGAGAGTACAATCACAAATGTCGGCATGCTGGGATAGCCAATAGCGGCTTTTAAAAGAAACCAGAATTATTTTAGTGTCTGGATACTTTAGCTTAGCATCATAATAAAAACTAGCATCGTTGTTAAATGAGATTTGTTATGCATTACGACTCTCAAAAAATGTATTGTTCTTTTCCCCTTAGAAACAATAATTTGCTCTACTGCATGACCGCTGTTGCGTGTCATTCGGCATACAGACACGGCAGGTTCTCCCATACTGCTTCATGCTGCTAAGCACAAGCTTCACAAAATGCAGAGTAGTATGAACAAGACACTGTTCTGAAGAACTGCCTTGATTTAATGATTCTTTGTTGTTTTCTTTTTTGCTAACTGAGCTTACCCCTCTGGAAAGGTTTAACTGAAAGCCAACCTTCACAGAGTTTTCACCCTTTATTTTATTGCAATGGATAATTTCTCAGTTCAAAGCAATATTTTTCTGTTTTTAAATAGGAGGAAAAATAGATTTTGACAGTTAATATTTTATTGCTTTCACTCTAGATAGATAAAACCAGATGGTTGCCTTGAGGAGCAGTTAAGCAGTGTATGTGCTAGATGAAAAGTACATATTTTACAATTCAGTACCTCCGTAAGAATGAATGCTTTTTATAGAAGACGTTCACCTTCCTCATTTACCAGTATTTGCTTATTATTTTGAGCTTTCTTCATAACAAAGTAATCCTATTTTGGTTAAAATAAAAGTAAATGCATTCACTAAAATACAGCATCCTCCAGGGAAGACTTACAGGCAGGAAAGACTGTCGTCAATAAATAGAGCCTGAATCAATCGAATTGTAAAATACCATAAATGCTTTGTCTGCGCCCTGTATTCGGAAGACAGGGCGAATGGTCTGCCATGCCTCTTTGAAGCCTCCACTATTGCTTGAGACTGGGTTAGAACAGTGTCAGACAGTTGTCACTGCTGTCCTGCTGTGAAGTTTGCTGGAGATAAGGGCCCACGTCGCAGAAATCACCAGCATAATTAGAACAGCAGATTGTTAGAAGTGCTGATTTTAATGGCCTTGGATTGAGTGCGGCTCTTTCCTCCCCAGCCTCAGCTACCCAAGCACTGTAGGGCCCGAATTCCCAGCCATGCCAGTCTGGTTGGACTGCTGAGACCACGGGAAGAGTCATGCCAGTTTTACCTGTCTCTCCCACCTCATCCCCCAGCCAAGCATTAGTTAAGGTGTTTTGATCAACTAAAGCAGCCTGAAGTTTCACTAGTACTGCAGCCTCATAACCCAGGAGTAAAACCCATCTTTGCCTGACGTGTATCTCTCCCAAAGGAGGTTTTAGGTACTTGTGCCAGACACAACCTCACCAAGCCCTGTGCAACCACCTTTCTGTGTAGATGTACATGCAAATGACTCCCGATTTTGCTCTCTGACTGGAGACATAGCTTATTTCTGCCCGAGGCTGCCTCTGCTCTGCTTTTGAGAGTGCCATCACCAAACACAAGTTATCCTGCTAGCTGAAGTGCCAAAACAGCCGAACTGTTGAGACCTGCGATGTGTTTCACACACGGTGTCCTTCTTCCTCTAGACTGAGGTGTCTGCAGTCCCTCCAAAAGCTTGGCAGTATCCTGCAACGGTCATGCTTTGAAGTAAAATCGGGCACAAGCAAAAGGGCGCAGATAAAAATAGACTTTGATCCTGGTGTTATTTGTCATAACAAATCACAAGGCAGAAGAGAAAGGGTTCTTTTCTCGTCATGCAGATAAAATAACTATGTTACAAACTTTGGAGGACCATCAGGTAGCAATAAAACACAGATCTTCCAAATACCAGTTCTGCTGTCTAAGGCAAATATTTTCTCATTGGTTTTAGGGGAATATTGGATTGATCCTAACCAGGGCTGTTCTGGAGACTCCTTCAAAGTGTACTGCAATTTCACAGCCGGTGGGGAAACCTGCATCTACCCAGATAAGAAATCTGAAGGAGTAAGTACCACTCTGTCGTCAGTTGGCTGCTGACAGACCCTGCTGAGCTGTTGCACTGTTGAATTAAACAGGATAATTACACTGCCACATTTTCATACATCTGTCTTTCTGATTGCACTGAAACCTGCATAAACCTGAATTAAAGGGTGCAATGGTACATAGAGTTAACAAACAGCATTTTCACCCTTTTGCTCAGACAGGGAATGTATGCAGCTGTGTGCTAACCCTTGGCCGCGTTTCAGAAGGGACCATGGCTGTGCAGCCAGCTAAAGTGCCCAATCCAACGTCTGACACCTGAAAGCTAAACTCCTACTATGGGGTCATTTATCGCTTTTCATTTGTACCTATGCAAAGTAGGTGTAAACCACTGTGTATTAACAGTGTCCTCACTCACTGGTACAAATTACCTCTCATGGGGCATGTGGTGTAGAGAAGGGCTGTATTAAAAGCTTCCCTAAATGAGAGCGATCTATCAGCATCAACACCAGGGAAAACTCTTGGTTTAGACTCTCTTCACAGACACCGTTTATACCAGCAGTTTACCTGAATCGTAACAGATGACAGCACTCTCCCTTAAACAGAGCTAGCTCTCTTTATAAGCTGTCACCTTGGATTCCACTTAAAGTCACTAACTTGAAGGAATTCAATAAAAGAAAAGCATCCTATTTAAAGCTTTAGAGATGCTGAGATCTCAGAAAGCAGAACAATTCTTTACCATCTGATATGAAATTTGTCCCAGGTAATGCAAAACTTTCATCTCCCTTAACCTATGTTTTAAATGCTTCTCTCTGCTGTTTTACCACACAGGTTAGGATTTCATCATGGCCAAAGGAGAATCCAGGATCTTGGTTTAGTGAATTTAAGCGAGGCAAACTTGTAAGTTGACACTGCAACATAACAATTATCGACAAATCAAGTACATGTTGTCCGTGATCAACAGATCCCAATGGATTTTATAAATATTTAGATAATGAAAAGGCTTTTCAGCCCCAGCCTTTTTGCCCTAAATATTAGAGCAGCTGTATGGCCTCCTGCCACAGGACAGCAGGCGCCCGCTCTTTATTGTCCCACCATGATCCCAATGGGCACCTGCACAGCTGACGGTGAGGATGTGGCTTCCGTCAGACCGCACGCCACCACTGAACCTTAGTACAGCAGCTGGAGCAGATCCCCTGCCTGTCCTAGGTAACTGGAAGTGTACGGAGTGTGCAGAGATGAAACCTCAGGCTGACAGAACCTTGTAATTAACTAAAAACAGATTCCCAAAGAGATTCTGCTGGTTTACCCTCTGAGATAGGAGGAATTCTGTCTTGCCCATTAGAATGAAGGTAAAATATGTAGGTCTTCATCCTAAATGGATTGCTACAGCATAAAAATTTATTTACTGAATCACAGCTTCATTGAACTTTAAAACTCCATAAAATGTTTTATGGACAACATTAAGGACAATTACATGGTTTTTTTGTCAACAATAATTTTGTTTTGCATTTTAGCAAAGGAAATAGATGAATATTCATCTAACTTCTCATATTTTCCAGCTTTCCTATTTGGATGTTGAAGGCAATTCCATTAATATGGTCCAAATGACATTCCTTAAACTACTGAGTGCCTCTGCCAGACAAAATTTCACTTACAACTGTCACCAGTCCGTAGCTTGGCATGATGCATCATCTGACAGCTATGACAAAGCGCTAAGGTTCTTAGGATCGAACGATGAAGAAATGTCTTATGACAACAATCCTTACATCAAAGCTCTCCACGATGGCTGTGCAGTAAGTAGAGATTCAGAAGAGTCTTTATGAAACCAACTTGTCAATTAAAAGTACAAATCAAATGCATTTTTTCGCAGCTTTCTTATGAGAAGAGCTTTCTAAACACTTTAACAGACTGCCTTTTAGTAGATTTTGAACAACAGTGCACCAGTCCCTTCTTTAATTTTCATATATGTACCAAAAAACCCAAACCCAGCAACAGAAATGGAACAAACATGGCAAGGATACAGGCTGTTAGCACCAATGTGCTGAAACTGGACTATATGCCAATATGAGCACAGTAAAAGACAGGAACAGAAGCAAAAAAAGCATAATGAGGGGAGGCAGCCCATCAGCAGAATGTATTTATACTCAAAATCAAAGCATATGCAGACAGAATATTTGGCGAATACAGTAAAACAAGCGTGAACTAAGCCATAAGTATGCATCCAAACAGAGTGAATTAATTGCATAGTTCGATACGTGACTTTGTATTTCCTTTTCTCGTCTTTTGTTAGTCAGAGCCCGGCAGCCTGTGGGTTGTAGCTCTCCGAGTCCTCTCTTAGCTCGGCTGACATCCCTGCAGCTGTGCAAACACGCAGCAGCTCTGACCAGCTCCCCAGCAGGGTCTGTGTAGGCACAGAAGCCATTACCTCTTTTCAGAACCGGAATGGTTTGTACTGGACACAAAGGAGCAAGTGACAGCTGAAGCATTAATTTTCTTGGGGGTTGATATGGGAGCATTTCGAAGGCAGTTCCTGAGAAGCCGGAGATAGAGTCAGAGACCTGGAAGCGCAGGATACGTACCTGGCTCTGAGGCAGAGATGCAGCTCAGGTGTATCAGTCTCCTCCCCGCAGTGATGGGATTCTAATACATAACTCTTCATGTCAGCCTCCCTGTACGTCCAGTATATTTCTCTTGCCTTTGTTACCCCCTGTGGGCGAGTGTAGGGCTCCAGAGCGAGCTGGCGCTTTAGGGTGTCACTCCATCACTAAACTGAGAACACGTCGATCTACCAACTTGCTCACCTGAACTCCCAAGACCCTGGCATAGCTGAAAGGGGTCTCAGCCAGGGACAGGAGACCACCTGAGCCCAGTGCAGTCCTGGTAACTACCATGATGACGTAGCTGGGTGGTATTTAGAGGAGGAAGAGAGCCTTTCTGAGGAGGTAAGGGTGTGCCTTCAAACCTGGTTTCCAAGTGCACCAGCTGGCAGCCCTGTCAGACTTCTACTTTCTTCTATGTCTAAGCAGCTGCTGTAATACTTTGTGAGATAGCTACGGTCTTTCTTCTTACAAGTGGATAATTCTTCGGGCTTTCAGAACTAATTAGTGATTTTTCACAAGGCAGACATGCGCACTGCTGTGAGAATAGTGTTACTACTTATTGAACAGTGTAGACATGAACTCAGAATTCTCTAAGAAACATTAAATTTCTTAGATAATTTTTCACTCGTGGGCCCGTTTTAGTAAGTCAAAAAAGCTATGGGGCAATCTCTTTCTAAAATTATAAACCTTACATGTCCCAGTTTTAAAATCAAATCTTAAGAAAACATAAACTTCAGAGTCTGCAATATCGGGTGCCTGAGTGGGCAATAATTTATAAACTCCACTCTTCAGAGAGCACCTGTGGAGACCTGCAGCATGTGCTACCTGCTCCAATACATAACCGTGTTTGCTTTTCTTTTTTCTTCTCTTTTAACAGTCAAGGAAAGGCTACGCAAAGACAGTGATCGAAATCAACACACCCAAAATAGACCAAGTGCCTATAGTTGATGTGATGATCAATGACTTTGGCGATCAGAACCAGAAGTTTGGATTTGAGGTCGGTCCCGTCTGCTTCCTTGGTTAAGCTTAAGACAAAATCAGATCAGCAAACATGTTGCACTTTGGTGCTACCAACCCACTCCATGCCACATGCAAGTTTTGAATAAGGATGGCATAGAAAACTTGTCTTGCTGTGTATGTATGTCTCATCTAGAAAGTAATTGTTGCCCTTGTAGGGCCAGAATCACATGACTTAAACTTATTTTGCAAAGGTACTGTAGCACAGACAGACATTGTAGGGCTCACTTTAGGAACACCCCCTTGGATTCCTTTGGTGCTGTAAAAACGAACGACATGGTGCTCCTTCCATTACAACCACGAGGTGTTAAGAAAGTGTTTAATAAACTGTAATTATTCTGTGTACAGTACTATACTGTCAGTTCTCTGTCCATTCCAAAACTTGCATGTGTCTCTGAGTTGCACCTGGCTCTTATTTCATAATTACAAAAACACATTGTCAATGCTGTGTGTATTCTGAGAAAACGACCTGTCATTGCCAGTGAAGTCATTGCCATTTCCATGTCTGATTAATAATAAAATCCCTTTGTATATATTGTTGTTGAAGAGCTTTGTTATTTGAAGTCGCCAACAAAACTTTTAGGTGGCAAAACTGGAAGATCTTGAACAGCACACTCCAACAACTCTCTTCTGCTGACATCACTCTGTGATGACGAGTTTCAGTAAGGAAAGCACCTTCAAAGGTGCTGTGTTCCATGGTGCTATACCTCAGACTTTTGTTTTCTAGCCAGAATTTCATAAGATACCTGTATATACCTAAAATAAACAAGTTTATATTTTTGGATGGGGAAAATATGTAAGAAAAAAACCAACTTCTGTGTAAGAGATCTGTTAAAAATCTGTGTGAAATAAATTAGTCATATAGCTTTCCTTCTTTTTAATCTCATCTGAATTTGTTTCCACTGTGCTTATTTGGTCTGCATAAATACTAAAACTGGATTCTAAACAGTTATTTATGGATTTTTGCAGTGTTTACTTGGATTTTTATGTAAGCAATGATGGATATTTGCTTCCTGAACTGGATACTAGGGTCCTACACACTACTTGCCCATCCCATTAATACGAAACATTTTTCCTGCTATTCCACCTGAAGGCCAGGGATGCAATATGTCTAGGTCATGTGATTCTACAGAGTTGCTAAGCAACATGTGAGGGGACTGCTTCCTAAGGAGCTGTCTGACCCAAACTCTTCAATTTGCTATTCAAATCTCACCCAAAAAATTGGTTTGGCCTTCCTTCTGAACATTTTATTCAGGTAGTTGGAAGTAGAAATTACATTTTAGCTTTACAACACAAATCCTTTTGTAATTATTTTTCATAATATATGTAAGACTTGAAAAGAAATGTTTGTTTCTATTTCTTACAAATTGTTAAATTAAATAGTACTAGTTTCTGCTGGCTCATTTCCAACTGGTATTTTCTTATGCACGTTTATACATGTAAAAGTGAGATTTCAAAAGTCAACTTCTTGCTGTTCATATTTTCTTTTATTTTTGAACCAAAGTTTGTAACTGTCACCTCAAAGAGGAAAAATACAAATTTTATTAATAAAATCAAGTCTTGTCTACCCGGATTGGTCATGCTCTTTTTTTTCTATGTCCAAAACTCACCCACTGTTACTGCTGTAACTTCACCCTGCTTCCAGACCATCCAAACTCAGAAAAAGTTAATCTCACTACATGTTCTGGCAGGCACTGGGCACCAGCACTGTGCTAATAGGAAGGATGCTGACCTGCCTGTCAGCAGTGCAGAGAGGCTGGAAATTTCACAGTTTGTATGGATTTGTAGCTGCAGCAGTCCACATAACACTATCAAACACAAGACAGGAGCCTGACACTCTTCCCCCAGCCACTCCCTTACAACCTACAATGTCTGAGTGGTTCACCATCTCGAGCTTATCCTTGTACATCCCATACGGTAGGCAAGTGACCCTATTTATTGATAGGAAATGGAAGACAAGAACTAGACCAAGACCTAGAAGCTACTAGAACATGAAATATCCGGTCCCCTGTTTTAGATAGTGGAGCCAGAACTGATGATGGGTCCAAGCTAGAGACGTGACATAGGTCACCTGGGGGCTCCTCCAAAAGCCTTTATATCTTCTAACCTGCTAACTGTTCTTTAACAAACTCCAGTTATGTCCATGGCAGCTGTGAAAGCAGCTCCAATGAGTTGGGCAGAGGAGGAGCTACGTTCTGCTGCTCAAGAGGGCTAGGTTAAGTTAGGTGCTGAGCTGTCCAACCCTATCTAAAACAACCCCAATACTTCCATGCGTCAGGTGCTTTGGGGCGATTCAAGTAAAAAAATATGGATGGTTGTGATTTGGTAGAGTGAGGATTAGGCTGCAGGAGAACAGTTTTCCTAACAGTGCAGTAGTGTAGGCCAGAAGCCAAACGAACCCAGGTCTTTTCCAGAATTGTCAAACTATCTTGCAAAGGTTCGTGCTGACAACATACCAAAGGAGGGAGTTAATGTCTGCACTTCTGATGTAAGGCCTCATCAGGTTTACTCTTTAGCTCTTCTTAAGTCTTAGCCATGTACTTACCCTTGTCATGAAAGGAACTCCCTAGTTACTCCTCTTTGTCCATTTTCTGTTTCAATGTGCTGTTCTTGTTCTCTCGAAGTTTCTGATTAAAGGGGGTGAAAATTGTGATTATATGTTCCTGACTTCAAGCAAAAATTATGCTATTTATTTTTCCCTTGACAGAAGTCTCACATTAGCAATGCTTAAAAAAAAATACAAACAAAAGAACACTCAACAGAAAGAAATTTCACATCAAAACTCACACACTAGTCTTTCTATGAAATGAACTTCAGATTGTGTAGTCAAACCCTGCTAGCCATAAAAACATAAACCTCAGATTCATCCTATGCTGTTATTAAAAAAAAAATACACACCCCAAAACTATGCAAGCTAAATACCTTAATTCGGTCAAGCCCATATGAAAACAAGGACCAGTATTTTTCACATCACAAATTAAAAACCTGTGTAATCAGAAAACGATTGAAATTGCTGTATGACACCTGGATGGTACTTCTGGAACCTGACAAAACAGAACCTGGCTTTTCTGTGGTCTTGAGGTTTCACCTTACCTCAGAGCAGACTGGGCAGGTCTGATTGAAGCCTCTTTCTGAAGAGAGAAAAGCTGTGCTGGAGATGGGATATGGGCTCCTCATATCCAATACAGGCACTGCTGTCATGTTACATGGAAATGGAGTGAGCAGACACACAGCAAACACACCAACAGATAGTACAGCCTGAGGCAATGCTCTGCGCAGAACAGCGTGGACGTACAACAGAGAGGTACATGACAAGCTACGACTATGGAGGCAGGAACTGGCCTGTGTGTAAGCGTAGAGTCTCCTCTCGCTCTCTCTCTCTGTCCTTTCCTCTTTCTAATCCAGGATCGGGCAATATCAAGCCATCATGATGGGAACATCTCTCAGAAAACTCCATAAATTCTAACAAAGATACCTTTTTCAGTCTCAGTGGACAGTCATTACGGCTAGCGGCAACAGTCACCTTGTCACAGAACAAGCTGCTCTCTGTCTCAAAAAAAAACCACAGTAATTTCCTTAAGATTCTTCTTCTTGGGAACAGCTTTGTTCATTTTAAAATGGAGCTTTGCATCCTAATGACTGGTAGGAGATGCCTTAATAGTAATTAATTTTCTATTACAAGCACACTCATTTTTCTTTGAATGAACACCTTCCATTGTACAAGCATCAAAAATAACGTGGAAGTGAAAAACACAGGATATGAAATGTCACGGCTGTTACGTTATACCTGGAAAGGTGTCTTATTTGTTTTCCTTTTCTAGGCATATAAATTATCAGCATCTCATTGTTCATTTGGTGCAAAGCAATGCCAAGGTTATTGCAAAGGAGTAGACTGCTCTGAAGTTATTCATTCATTTTGTTTTCAATAAGGACATCGAAGATTATTCCAGTGAAGGCGGCTGCAAGCACAGACACTCGGACAGGCTGCTCTAGCCAAAACTGTGCTTGGTTTGTTCTCAGCTATGTGAACGAAGGCGCTGTTCTAGTGAAAGTATGGAGCCAAACCCTACCCGGTACCATGGCCATGTTGTGCCTAGTTCCTCGCAGGAGCTTTGCCAGACCTTGACCTTGCTTCTAGTTTCTGAAGGGTGGGGATGTGAGCTCCATCAAAACACATCTGACTTCAGGGAGACAGACAGGAGATGATCAGAATTCAGCAGCAGGACTGGGATATAAGTGTCTTCGCTGCTCCCTGGTATGATCTAGGGAATAATTTCTTTAACAAAGTCACTTTAGCTAAATCTTGCTGAAGCATAAGAGAATTAAAATACAGATGAAGATTAAAATTCAGTCCATCGATATGTTGTCATTACGTTACACACTATTAAAACATGATTCATATAACCAGGAGATGACTGAGGGATTAAGTGTCGGTCAGTGGGTTGTGCTAAAATCCACAAATAAGAAGTCAATGCCTCTATTTTCTCTTCCCTTTCTTGTTGATGCCAGTTGTTCTGTTCAAGTCCAGAGCTTCCTCTCCAGGAAAAACCCCAAGCCCGTTACCTCATTTCCTTTCATCATCATTTGGTACTTTGCATTTGGGGAGATGATGCCCACTACGTGTTTGCTTTTCAACATCTAGCGCACATTTCACAAGCTATTAGAATCTAACAGAAGCAGTAGTTTTCAATCTCCTGATTGTCAGCTGTTCTACACCCAAGCGACTAATGCTACTGCTTTTTCCTCATACTCAGTTGGTATTTTCAAAGCATCATAAGGCTCAGCAAGGATAATCACTTAACCTCCTTCAGGATTTTAAAACAAAAAGCATCTGCCACAAACAGTGTCAATAAGCCCTCAACAGATAACAAGAAAACGGGAAATTAATCACTTTCCAAATGATACAGTAAGCAGAATAGCTGATGGATCATTTATCATCATTTCTCCTTCTGTGTACACTAAAGAAGACTGGGTGTGAGTACCTGTCAGAGCTCTTTAACAGCTTGCAAAGCCATCTTCTAAATTTGTGTTCTGGCCTTTGCTTTATGCCTTAAACGGGGATGAGTAAAATAATTAGCAAGGAAAAAATCAAATTAATTCTTCTCTAGCCCCAGAAGGTCTCTAAACTGCATCTCCTGCGGTGTCTTCACTATAGTAATGATGTAATGGGTAATTAAAAAATCTTTCTGAGTGCACAGGACTGGGAAACAAGGCTGCGCAGTCCCAAGGTCATCCTCATGACCAGGAATGGACACAGAAGCCTCCCGCTCAGTTCTTACCTCACTGTGAAATACCTTGTCTGGAAAAAAGCCGCAGCAACTCCAGGCCGTAGTGTTGTGTGGCCAGCAGACACCCAGCCTGCAAACCCTGCAGTTCCCTAGTACAAGTAAATGTAAACACAGCTAGAGCAGAGCCATAATCCTGGGGAATTAAGTGGTAAATATTGACTGAATGTTGCAATTGTGAACTGCAGTGACAAGGGTTGCCCAGTTTCTGTGATCTTTTCCTACCGCAGAAAAGCAGGTGGACC